AGTTATTTAAAAATCCATGTTTGGTAACTCCAATATCTGGACCATCTGGGGGTCAGTTTCATCATCTGTCTCTTTGTTCTGGGTCAAGTTCTTATGTCTGCTAATGACACAGTTGAGCATTGGTTCTGGATTTCTGATGGTGACATAAAACTTGAGATATCATGGATCGTAAGTATCCAGTATCTGGAATGCAAAGTCTAGAAAAAAAAATTTTGGTAAATATACACCTGTTTGAGTAAACCATTCAAGCAAGCAAACCTAACAGCCACTGAAGCACCAGAGAAATATGGGGTGGTGTCCAAAGCATACTGTATCTTAAAAACATAACATCCAAAATCCTGTTATATGTTCCCCCGATTTTCACCCACACCCCTTTCTCATGAATCTTTAGGAATTAAAATCAAGTTTTCCTTTTCTCATTGTTTGTTTCAATCACAAAATAAGACAGAAACTGCTTTAGCCAATTTTGCTCAGTGGATAGAGCATCAGCCTGCGGACCAAAGGGTCCCGGGTTCGATTCCGGCCAAGGGCACATACTTGGTTGCAGGCTCCTCCCCGGCCCAGGCCCTGGTTGGGGCTCATGCAGAAGGCAACCAATTGATGTGTTTCTCTCACATCGATGTTTCTCTCTGTCTTTCCCTCTCCCTTCCACTCTTCCTAAAAATCAATGGAAAAATATCCTCTGGTGAGGATAAACAACAACAACAAAAATAAGACAGAAACTTTACACAACTAATGCTAACCGGCACAGATGAAGTCATAAATGATAAGATAAACACTTCAGCCCATTACTGCTTGAAAAGTGAAGTTTAGCAGAGCTCAGGAGCCAACTGCAAAAATCTTGCAAATTGCACACTGCATGATTTTATGTATTTATAATAAGTGATCATTTCCTTGAATTAAGGTTTCTTATAAAAATTCTTTTCCTATTACAATTTATTATGATTAGTAGGGTTTGAGCTCAGCAAAATTTTCAAGTAGTTATCCTATTTTTAAAAAAATGTTATTATTGATTTCAGAGAGGAAGGGAGAGGGAAAGAGAGGGAAACATCAAGGATGAGAGAGAATCAGTGATTGGCTGCCTCTTGCATGCCCCACACTGGGGATCGAGCCTCAACCTGGGAATCAGCCATGACCTCCTGGTTCATATGTCAGTGCTGAACCACTGAGCCACACTGGCCAGGCAGTAGTTATCCTACTTAGAATGGTTGTTCCTTTCCATCAAATTAGACATTTCCGCCCTGACCAGTTTGGCTCAGTGGATAGAGCGTCGGCCTGAGGATGAAAGGGTCCCAGGTTCGATTCTGGTCAAGGGCATGTACCTTGGTTGCAGGCACATCCCCAGTGGGGGTTGTGCAGGAGGCAGCTGATTGATGTTTCTAACTCTCTATCCCTCACCCTTCTTCTCTGTAAAAAATCAATAAAATATATATTTTTTTACAAATTAGACATTTCCAGGCACCTTCTAATTGTTAGGCAGTGGTTTGAGGTCATGTTCATTCGGCAGCAAATAAACTTCCTGACCCCATGGAGTTTATATTCTCATGGACATGGATTTCCGTCATTTTACCTTTGCAAAGGGCCCGATCTTCTTTATTTTTAAGGCCTTTATCCTGTGTAGATTTTAGTGAAACTAAAGGTTCTGACCAACTTATTGTACCACTCTTATAGGTTTACTCTATGGAGCATTCTCTTAAGAACTGTGACATTTTGAACTCTGCCAAAACACAGGCCACATTATGAACTCTGTGATGAACCAGAAGACAGGAACTCTTACTAAGCCCTTATCACATGCAAAACATGTGTAGGGTTTCCTTGTAGTAAGGATTGTCTTATTACCATAGGCCACATTTACAGGGTTTCTCATCCCTGTGGGTCCTCTGATGAACATGAAGATACGAGTTCCACATGAGGCTGTTCCCACACTCTTTTTTTTTTTTTAATATATTTTATTGAGTTTTTACAGAGAGGAAGGGAGAGAGATAGAGAGTTAGAAACATCGATGAGAGAGAGAAACATCGATCAGCTGCCTCCTGCACATCTCCCACTGGGGATGTGCCCGCAACCCAGGCACATGCCCTTGACCGGAATCGAACCCGGGACCTTTCAGTCCTCAAGCCGACGCTCTATCCACTGAGCCAAACCGGTTTCGGCTGTTCCCACACTCTTAACATTTATAGGATTTCTCCCCAGTGTGTACTCATTGATGAGATTGAAGATTTGAACTCTGGCTGACGCTCTTCCCACACAAAGCACATCTGTAGAGTTTCTCCCCTGTGTGGACTCGCTAATCATCGTGAAGACTTGTGGTGTAGCTGAAGCTCCTATCACACACAGCGCGTTTGTGGCATTTCTCTCCTGTGTAGATCTCTGATGAACATGACAATACCAAGATCTGCAGGGTTTCTCTGCAGTGTGGGCTCACTGATAAGCTGGAAGACTTGAGGTCTTACTGAGGCTCTTACCACACACAGCCCATATGTAGGGTTTCTCTCCTGGGTGTACTCACTGATAGGCTTCAAGATGTGAACTCCAACTTAAGTCCTTCCCACACGCAGCACATTTGTAGGGTTTCTCTCCAGTGTGGACTCATTGATATTCCTGAAGACATGAACAGTGATCAAAGCCCTTACCACATGTCCACATTTGTATGTCTTGTCTCCTGTATGAATTTTCTGATGGATCTGAAGGTGGGGAAGTGGGAATGAAGCTCTTACCACCTCTCTCATATTTGTATGGCTTGAAGATGTGAGGTTTAACTCAAGCTCTTACCAAACACACCGCATATATAGGGTTTCTCTCCTGTGTAGATCCTCTGATGAACAGGAAGGCAGGAGCTCCACATGAAGCCTTTCCCACACACAGGATATTTGTAGGGTTTCTCTCCACTGAGGACTTATTGATGGGCTTGAAGATGTGAACTCAGTGAAGCTCTTTCCTCACATGTCACATTTGTATGGCTTCTCTCCCCTGTGGATCGTCTAATGAACATGAAACACAAGTTCCACATGAAGCCTTTCCCACATGCTTAACAATTGTAGGGTTACTCCCCAGTGTGGACTCAGTATGGTCTTGAAGGCTTGAAGTATGGTTGAGGCTCTTACCACACACAGCACATCTGTAGTGTTTCTCCATGTGTGTACTCACTGATGGGATTTAAGATATGAAGTCTGACTGAAGCTCTTACCACACACAGCACATTTGTAGGGTGTCTCCTGTGTGGACTCACTGATGGGCCTGAAGATTTGAGTTCTGACTGAAGCTCCTCTCACATACCACATTTATAGGATTTCTCTCCTGTGTGTATCCTCTGATGAACATGAAGATTCAAGCTCCAAATGAATCTCCCACACTCTTTACATTTGTAAGGTTTCTCTCCTGTGTTAACTCTCTGATGAATTTGCAATGGGAGCTTTGAATGTTTCCCCACACGTTACATATATGGGGTTTTGCTCCTAGGAGAAAACGCTGATGAAGTTCAAGATCGGGCCCACAACCTGGCATGTGCCCGGACTGGGAACCGAACCCATGACCTCCTGGTTCATGGGCTGATGCTCAGCTATTCTCTCTCCTTTTAAAGAGAGTTTTAAAAATAATTAGCCTATTTAATATACTTGAAATTACACAGAAAGCTTTCCCAAATCAAAATGAATACTAGTAGTAATAATATCCTATTTATGTACACATATTTTTCAAAAAATGGATATTCTAAATATTTCCCTCTGCCCTAGGGAAAAACTTGCAAACATTTAAAGCCAAGTTCAAACAGGCAACTCCCAGGGATAGCAAGTGTCCTGTCAGTGGCACAGGGAAAGCCAAGAGCAATGGTTCTCTATGGGGGCATCTGGCAGTGGTGCTCTGGATATTTGTGATCCACACATTGGAAATAAACTATTTCCAATGTTCAATACACACTTCTAATAAGCCATGTGTACCTTATTTACAAAAAAATTGTTGTCTTTTACTATTGTTTCTTACAAAAACAGTGTTGTTGTTTTTTATAAATTGCATTGAAATCAATGCCACACCATTTTGTTTTGTCATTTATAGTCACTTTATTTTATACATTTACAAATATATCTTTAGAAAAATCCATAAAAAAGACTCTGACTTACTCTAAATTACAGGTTTCCAAAGAGATCATATCTTTAAATTAGATAAAAATGTATAAAATTCTGAAGACTTCTAAGACCATAACTTACAACCTGGAGATTTTTGTCCAGTGGTAAAGACATTAATTAAAGACTCTCTACAACAGTGTTGGAAGAGACCTTACCTAATCAGGTGCCTAACCATGAATGGACATCTGACCCTGACTCTGACACTTACCTCTATCTACAGTGGAGATCAAAGACTTTTCAAGAATAAAAAGCCCAAACATCAGAAATAGACAGCCATCCTGAGATACCAACAAGGCCTATAGACCTACAAATTAATGTTACTATTACTATTAGTAATAATAATAATAATACTTGTTCTTTAGGCTTTTCTCAAACCCTATACAATGTAAATGTAACCCAACTGTTAATAATTACTGAATGTGTATAACATCTACCTGCATGATAAATAATAATCTTTTTATGCTATCACTTTTAAAATTTATTTTAAAATGCTGTTATAAAAAGTTAAGTAAAAAGAAATATTAGGCCCAGCAGGTGTGGCTCCATGGCCGAGTGTCAACCTATGAACCAGGAGGTCACGGATCGAATCCTGGTCAGGGCACATGCCCAGATTTTGGGCTTCATCCCTAGTGGGTGGTATGCAGGAGGCGGGCAATTGATGATTCTCTCTCATCACTGATATTCCTATCTATCCCTCTCCCTTCCTCTCTGAAGTTAATAAAAAAATTTTTTTAAAGAAATATTAAACCAGGCCTGTGTAGCTCAGTGGATTGAGTGTTGTCCTATGCACCAAGAGGTCGCTGATTTGATTCCTGGTCAGGGCACATGCCTGGGTTTTGGGCTTAATCCCCAGTAAAGTGTGTGCAGGAGGCAGCCGATCAATGTTTCTCTCTCATTGATGTATCTATCTCTCCCTTTCCCTTCCTCTCTCTCTCTAAAATCAATAAAAAATATTTTAAAAAGAGAAATATTAAGAAAGGAATTTATTTAAACACAAAAAAACCTAATTATGAAACATATCTCACATTTGTATAACTTCTATCTTGTGTGGACTCTCTGATGAGCTTGAAGACTTGAGTTCTGACTGAAGTTTTTACCACACATGTCACATTTATAGGGTTTCTGTCCTGAGTGGATCCTCTGTTGAACGTGAAGATGCGAGCTCCACATGAAGCCTTTCTCACACACAGCACATTTGTAGGGTTTCTCTCTACTGTGAACTCACTGATGAACTTGCAGAAGTGAAGTCTGATTGAACCTCTTAGCACACACGGCACATTTGTAGGGTTCCTCTGTAGTGTGGGTTTGCTGATGAGTTTGGAGACTGCGGTCTGACTGGAAACTCTTACCACAGCCAGTACATTTGTAGGGTTTGTCTTTTGTGTGGATTCATTGATGTTCTTGGAGAAGTGAATTGTGATTAAAGCCCTTATGGCATGTCTCACATTTTTATGAGCTTGAAGATGAGACTTAGTGAGACTGAAGGTCTTGCCTCACAGGTGACATTTATAGGGATTCTCTCCTGTGTGGATCCTCTGACGAGCCTGAAGATACAGGCTCTACATGAAGCCTCTCCCACACTCTTAACATTTGTAGGGTTTCTCGACAGTGTGGATTCGCTGGTGGTCTTGAAGACTTGAGGTATGGCTGAAGCTCTTACCACACACAGTACATTTGCTGTGTTTCTCTCCTGTGTGGACTCGCTGATGGGACTGAAGATATGAACTCCGACTGAAGCTCTTCACACACACAGCACATTTGTAGGGTTTCTCTCCTGTGTGGACTCGCTGATGAGTCTGGAGACTTGAGGTCTGACTGAAGCTCTTCCCACACACGCTACATTTGTAGGGTTTCTCTCCTGTGTGGATCCTCTGATGAACATGAAGACTTGAGGTCACCATGAAGCCTTTACCACACTGTTCACATTTGTAGGGTTTCTCGCCAGTGTGGACACGTTGATGGTATTGAAGACTTGAGGTCTGACTGAAGCTCTTACCACACACAGCGCAACTGTAGGGCTTCTCTCCTGTGTGGAATCGCTGATGGCCTTGAAGATGTGAACTCCGACTGAAGCTCTTACCACACACGGCACATTGGTAGGGTTTCTCTCCAGTGTGGATTCGCTGATGGGCTTGAAGATGTGAACTCTGACTGAAGCTCTTTCCACACACCCCACATTTGTAAGGTTTCTCTTCTGTGTGGATCCTCTCATGAACATGCAGATATGAGCTCCACATGAAGCCTTTCCCACACACAGTACATTTGTAGGGTTTCTCTCCAGTGTGGACTCGCTGATGAACTTGCAAATGTGATTTCTGACTAAAGCTCTTACCACACACAGTGCATCTGTAGGGTTTCTCTCCCGTGTGGATTCGCTGATGGGCTTGAAGACTTGAGGTCTGACTAAAGCTCTTACTACACACAGAACATCTGTAGGGTTTCTCTCCAGTGTGGACTTGTTGATGTTCTTGAAGATGTGAACTACGAGTAAAGCCCGTACCACATGCCTCTCGTTTGTATGGCTTCTCTACAGTGTGGATTCGCTGATGGGCATGAAGCTTTGAACTCAGTCTGAAGCCCTTTTCACACACAGCACATTTGTAGGGTTTCTCTCTAGTGTGGACTCGGTGATGAACTTGAAGATGTGAACTCCGACTGAAGCCTTTCCCACACACAGCACATTTGTAGGGTTTCTCTCCAGAGTGGAACCTCTGATGACCATGAAGATATGAGCTACACATGCAGCCTTTCCCACACACAGCACATTTGTAGGGCTTCTCTCCTGTGTTGACTCTCTGATGGATTTGCAGATGTAAGCTCTGACAGAAGTCTTCACCACACTCACCATTCCTACTGAATTTCTCTTCTGTGAGAACACTTTGATGAGTGCAAAGCAGCGAGCTATAACTGATGCCATCCCCACACTCACTACACATATGAGATTTTGCTCCTAGGTGTAACTGCTGATGAAGTTCAAGACTGGGGCCAAAACTGAAGCCTTGTCCATTCTCATGAGAATTTTGCTCTCCTGCATGAACTCCATTATGCTGAAATGATGTCTTCAGGAAACATTTTCCACAATTCTTGTGGCTACATGACTTCTCACCTTTATGTACTTCCTGATCATCATCATGGTCATGAGAGGTCTTTTTAATATCACAACCATCACACTTACACAGTTTACATTTCCCATCAAACTGCTGACACCTACTCTGATAATTCTGTGACTCTCTCCAGAAATCCCAGGCGGTCTTACTTGGAAAATCTTGATTTTTTATACTATTGGCACTTTGAACTTCCCCTTGCACCTTTATTACATAGTTCTCATCTTCAGAAACCTGAGTAGATTCTGTTGCCCACAACTGGCAGAAGGAATCGCCTTGGATTGGCAAATCAAACCTCTTGCCTTGTAGATTTATTATCAAGTCTTGATTTCTGGTTAACTTACTCATGATTTGTTCCCATATTGGCCAGCACACAAGGTCTTCATGAAAAAGGTCCCGTAATCCAACTTGTTGAAGAGTCTCTATCTCATTTTGATGCCGGCAGCCTGAAAGGATAAGAATTCAGAGATGAAAATGAGGAAAAATGAATATTTACTCAGAAATAAAAATATTTCACCAGTCAACCACACTGGGAGACCATATTCGATCAGCTTGGACTTTGTCATTGGCTTTTTCATGCCTATGAAAACAAAGAGGTGATGAGTAGGCTCCTATCCACTAAGTGTTAAGGAGACTCACTTGGAACTATAACAAGACTTAACTATGAAGTCAAAATTAGAAATAGATAGCTACAGAGCAGGGAACTTTCTCAGCAAAAGTAAAAAGGATATATAATATTCAACTAGTGAACAACTGGAAAAAAATAGAAAACTCATTTCCATATCTTATAGGAGTAAAATTCTTAAGATAATTGTTGCCACTTAATTTGGCTGAATTTTATGATCAATGTGAGTGGCTAACATTCTCTTCCAGGCTTTGTACATATGTATTTGTACATATGAGAAGGTGCTGTGGTAGCCAGCATACAGGATGGTCCCCAATGATTCTGCCTCCTGATGTCCGTATCCTATCAAATCCCTTCTCACAATGTATCAGGATTGATCTGTGAAGCCAACAGAATATGGCAGAAGTGAGAGTACATCACTTCCAAGGTTAGGTCATAAAAGACATTGTGGCTTCTGCCTTCCACTGTCTTGGGTGTAACCAGCTGGTGTAACTGCCATGTTTGGGAGACACTCGGGAGCTCAATGGAGAGGTCCACTCACTGGCAAGGCCTTCTCCCAACAATCAGGTGAACGAGTGCATCTTGGAAGCCGAAACTTTAGTCCCATTAAACCTTCAAAGGCCTGAAGCTCTGCTGGACTCCTTGACAGGTTTATGAATTTCTGACCCTTATCATCCAGATAAGCTGCCACCAGATTCCTGACTCACAGAAGTATAAATAAATGCTTATTGTTATAAGCTGCTAAGTTTAAGAATAGCCCCAGCTGGTTTGGCTCAGTGAATGGAGTGTTGGACTGTGGACTGGAAGGTCCTGGGTTCAATTCCAGACAAGGTCACATGCCCGGGTTACGGGCTCAATCCTAGGTAGGGGGCATGCAGGAGGCAGCTGATCAATGATACTCTCTCATCATTGATGTTTCTATCTCTCTCTCCCTTTCCCTTCCTCTCTGAAATCAATAAAAATATATTTTAAAAAATAAATAAATCCTGTAGAAATACTAATATCAATCAACATAAAAGACATTTAAGAGTAGTTATACAGGTATAAGTAGCTAATACAAGTACCATAAAAATTATTGTTCATCAGAAGCATAATAATGTTCTTTTCTTTTTTTTTTGTTTGTTAAATATATTTTATTGATTTTTTCACAGAGAGGAAGGGAGAGAGATAGAGAGCCCGAAACATCAATGAAAGAGAAACATTGATCAGCTGCCTCCTGCACGCCCCCCAGTGGGGATGTGCCCGCAACCAAGGTACATGCCCTTGACCGGAATCGAACCCGGGACCCTTGAGTCCGCAGGCCGACGCTCTATCCACTGAGCCAAACCGGTTCTGGCTATTTTTTTTTTGGCATAATAATGTTCTTAAATAATCCCTAAGTCACACTGCTTTTTTCTCCCCTTGTTAGCTGTCTCCAGGAGTGAAGACGGTGAGATCCACCTAGCACCATTCTCAATGAGCTTTTGTTTATAAGAATTCTAATGAGAGAAGAAAGCCTTTGGTTTGTGCATTATTGCAGTGAAATTAGGCCTCTAGGACATTCCTCATAGATGGAGCAGGGCAACTAGATAGACACCAAAAAATGCGAAACCTTGTGATATTCTGATGTTGCCAAAAGGAACTTTTATAAGGGAGATGTGCACAGAATATACTATAAGATTCGTTCAACTTTCTGAGGAGTGGGAGTTACAGAGATGCATCTATTTGTCAAAACTAATCAAACTGCATGCTTAGTATGTGCATATGTAAATGTTACCTCAATAAAAAGAACTTACACAAATAAGAAGTCATTTCACTCCCTGAAAATTCATGTACATTTATAAACTGTGCAGTTTTCTGTATATATTTCAATAAAATGTTGGCCCAAAATTAAAAAATAAAAGTAAAGACTTTTTTGAGAAGGCAAAGCAGCCCTGGCCAGGTATCTTAGTTGGATAGAGCATTGCCCAATATGATCAGTTGCGAGTTCAATCCCTGGTCAGGGCACACACAAGAATCAACCAATGAATGCCTATATTAGTGGAACAACAAATCAATGTCTCTCTCTCTCACCCTTTCTCTCAAATCAATTAATTCTATATAATAAAAGCCTAATATGCAAATCGACCGAATGGCGGAACGACCGGTCGCTATGATGCACAATGATCACCAGGGGGCAGACGCTCAATGCAGGAGCTGCCCCTAGCCCAGGGGTGGGCAAACTTTTTGACTCAAGGGCCACAATGGGTTCTTAAACTGGACCGGAGGGCCGGAACAAAAGCATGGATGGAGTGTTTGTGTGAACTAATATAAATTCAAAGTAAACATCATTACATAAAAGGGTACGGTCTTTTTTTTTTTAGTTCTATTCATTTCAAACAGGCCGGATCTGGCCCGCGGGCCGTAGTTTGCCCACGGCTGCCCTAGCCCACAGGCCCCAGGCCAGCCAAGGTGGGGGCAAGAGGGGGCCCCTGATCGCCCCGCCGGTTGCCCCACAGAGGGAGGTGACCGGCGGTGGTGGCAGGGTGTGAGGCGGGCAAACAGGCGGCGCCATGCTGGCCAAGGCAGATGTCAGCGGGGGCCCCCCGATCACCCTGCCAATCACCCCACAGATCGGCCCTGATCACCGGCCAGGCCTAGGGACCTTACCTGTGCACGAATTTCATGTACCGGGCCTCTAGTCAATCAATAATAAAATATAGCCTTCCTTTAAAAAAATAATTATTATTTTAAAAGGCAAAGCAGTTATAAAGCAAAACCAGACAACAGTTGTAACTGGAATGGTAATTCCAAGGTAGGTCTGTACAGAAAAATAAGGGAGCGAGTCAAATGGAGGCAGCATCTAACCTCCCTGACTGTGGGAAAACTTCTAGCAGCATGAAGACACAAGAGCAGAAATGATGAAAGGACTGAGAAGAATTTCCCCCACTACTCACCACAGGCAGGGCCTCCTCTGTCAGATAAGCAGCTAGATTCTCCTGGTTCTTTTGCTTCTCTGATTTAGCTTTTTATTTTTGTGCATATGTCCAATAGGGATGACTGTAATTACTGTATTGTAGGCTGGGCTTACTTGAGGGATACACAAAGTAAAATAAGTGAATGAAGAAGGGAGCGAAGAAGAGGGAGAAATGAAGGAAAGGAAGGGAGGAGGGAGGAAGGTAGGCAGGGATGATGTCACCGAGTAAATGGATGGAGCACTCCTCACAATGGCAATGCAGAGAACGAACACAGGTTAAGAGAAGCTGTGAGGGAGCCTTTTCACTCACATTCAAATGGGACCGCCTACCCATTCATCCATTAATTCATCATTTAATCATTCATCAAACAAATAATTAATTAACATATCCTGTGAGTTAAGATACAATCCCTGACCTCCTGATGTTACACTCAAATGGGGAAAGAAAGACAATATACAAGTAAACAAAACATAATCCTTTAATATATCAGCAAGTAATTAATGATCAGTCACAAAATGAGACAGGGCAGGGGGCTGGGGATTTTAAGCAGAGTGCTCAGAACGGGCTTCTGAGATGAGATGACATCTGAGCAGACACGGATGAGTGAGGCAGGAGACAGGAGGATGTACGGGGAGAACAAGGAAGAGCAAGAGAAAGGCCATGAGGTGGAGCAGCTGGCATGTCAGAGGCGCAGCAAGCGGTCTGGTGCGGCTGGAAGGCTAAGGAAAGGAAATCCAGCCAGAGCGGGTGAGGGCGGCCAGGCCAGGCAGCGCCCTGCAGGCCACTGGAATTATTTCAGACTGTATGAGGCAGCGCCCTGCAGGCCACTGGAATTATTTCAGACTGTATGAGGCAGCGCCCTGCAGGCCACTGGAATTATTTCAGACTGTATGAGTGAGATGGGAGTCATGCAAGAGTGAACAGACCAGTTACCTGATCTGACTGACCAGTTACGATCTGGCTGCTGTAGGAGAACAGACTACAGAAGGCAAAAGCAGAGGCAAGGAGGCAGTGAGAGAGCTGCTGTAAGTAAGCAGCGTAATGAATGATGGAGGCTTGGGCCAGGGTGGCGGCCCTTCGGGGGAGAGGAGAGCGCCTGGGCCCAGGAAGGCCTCAGCTGCCTGGCTGTCACCTGCACACCTGCCTCCTGAGGTTTCTGTCTCCATCATCGGAAGCTACTCTTCTCTCCCCAAGGGTCATTTCCTATCCAATTTGAGGGGTTGATATGCTATTGAAAATAAATGGCTTATATACAAGGGGATACACTAAAGGCAAAAACTTAATGCTTCTCCAAAAAGGCAATTCTACGATCCTTATGCATGCTAAATAGTATTTCTCCAAATTCTGATCCTGACTTGTTGCAATAAATACAACAGGCAGCCCTAGCTGGTTTGACTCAGTGGATGGAGTGTCAGCCTGCGGACTGAAGGGTCCCGGGTTTGATTCCGATCAAGGGCATATGCCCGGGTTGTGGGCTCAATCCCCAGTGGGGGGCGTGCAGGAGGCAGCCAATCGATGATTCCCACTCATCATTGATGTTTCTATCTCTCTCTCCCTCTCCCTTCCTCTGAAAATCAATAAAATATATCAATAAAAATATATTTTAAAAAATACAACAGGCAATCAAATGATCATCGTTTCCTGACCTACTCACAGTTCTGGTTATACTGTATGCAGTTCCGACAAGGAGCTATGCTGCCTTTAATCTACTTTGTTCAGTACAATAAAGATGTAACTAAACAACTGATTTTAAACCCCACCAAGATGTCAATACTGCAATTTGCAAAAAATAGGAAAAGTACAGACAGGATATCTCACAGGACTTAGGAAACTGAGATCCCAGGTTTGGGACACATTTCAAGAGTCCCAAAGTCTTAAACATTTGAAATCAAAATACTCCTGGGAGCTGACATTCAGTGACAGAGGGCACCCGTCCTCACCCACTGACACCAGATTCCGGAAGTTCTCCAGCATCACGTCCTGGTACAGCTTCCTCTGGGACGGGTCCAGCAGCCCCAGCTCCTCCTCCGTGAAGACCACAGCCACGTCCTGGAACGTCACCGCCTCCTACAACACCACACACAGGAAACCTCAACTTTATGACCAATGGGCAAGGGGAGAGGGCAGCACTGAGGGGCAGAGGGGATGGGGGGAAGTTGTCCTGAATTCTGCTGGCCCTGAGTCTATTTTTAAAAAATATATATATTTTATTGATTTTTTACAGAGAGGAAGGGAGAAGGATAGAGAGTCAGAAATATCAATAAGAGAGAAACATCGATCAGCTGCCTCCTGCACACTCCCTACTGGGGATGTGCCTGCAACCAAGGTACATGCCCTTGACCGGAATTGAACCTGGGACCCTTCAGTCCGCAGGCCGACGCTCTATCCACTGAGCCAAACCGCTTAGTGCCTGAGTCTATTTTAAGGACCTTCCCCCTCTTCTCCATCCAGCATGTCAATTTCATACACTAATTTTCCACAGTCCCTTCAAAAGTATGTGCAACTTACCTTCTTTGGTGTGGCTCAGTTGGTTGAACACCAGAAGGTCTCGGGTTCGGTTTCTAGTGAGGGCACATGCACGGGTTGCGGGCTCGATCCCCAGTAGGGGACTTGCAGGAGGCAACCCATTGATGCTTCTCTCTCACCCTCTCATTTCCTCTCTCCCTCTCAAAATAATAAAAATATATATGAAAAATTGTGCAGTTACGAATAATCCCTGTTTATTTCACTTGGTGTCATTTGTGAGCATTCCTACGTAAGCACCTGGAACCGCAACCCTTCAGTCGAGGGGGATACGTTTGGTTAGCGCTGCCAAATTGTTCCAGCAATGTTGGGTTACTTTACCCCCAACAGGCCCTGGTGGCTTTTATCTTTCCTTTCTCACTCGCACAGTCGCTAAGCCTGGGGATTCTCACTTGGTTACAGTTTAACAAACCAACAGGTCACCCTTCCTGAGCAGCAATGAAATCGGTCCTCTGTGCTCCCAAGGCACACGCCCCCTGCCTGTGACACTACGTATGACAGCACTCAAAGTGTCTGACCGCGCTCATGCCAGAATCCCTCGCTTTAAATCCCAAAGCTGTGCCCCTCACCAGCTGCAAGACCTAAGACCAGTGGTTCTCAACCTTCCTAATGCCGCGACCCTTTCATACGGTTCCTCATGTCGTGGTGACCCCCAACCATAAAATTACTTTCGTTGCTACTTCATCACTGTAATGTTGCTACTGTGATGAATCATAATGTAAATATCTGATAGGCAGGATGTATTTTCATTGTTACAAATTGAACATAATTAAAGCACAGTGATTAATCACAAAAACAATATGTAATTATATATGTGTTTTCCAATGGTCTTAGGCGACCCCTGTGAAAGGGTCGTTCGACCCCCAAAGGGGTCACGACCCACAGGTTGAGAACCACTGCCTTAGACCAACAGATCCCTTAACCTATTTCATCCGTGTGATGGTGTTCGTATCGGAACATTCTTACACACGGAAATGAAGGAGGATATGTAAGTTCCTATGAGTGTACTGCCCAATTCAGTAGCCACTAGTCACATGTGGCTATGTAAATTTACATTTATGTAAAATCAAAAATTCTGTCCCACAGTTGCACTAGCACATTTCAAATGCTCAAGAGCCACCACGGCCTGTAGCTACCATGCTAGACAGCCCAATAACAGAACATACCCATCACCTCAAAAGTTCTACTGTACAGCGCTGTCTTAGAACACACAGTAGGTCCTCAATGAATGTTAGCTTTTATTACTATGATGATGAAAAATACATTTATTTTTTAATGTATACGTGTACACTGATAGTCCAACAGAAAACTTTACGCCTCGTTTGATATTATCAGTGGGACTTTTGCTCTGCATCACTGATGACAGAGATTTTACATCAGGTTTATATTTCGTGACCTTCAGAGATATGTACGAGCTACTACTTTCATCCGTCAGGCTACTCCTATTACGAGACTTAATAAAATTCATCACTGAGAACAAAGATTCACAAGCGTATGTGGATGAAACCAAAACACTGGTCAGATCTAGGAAGGCGGGGATAGTTAAGGCAGAGGCATAGAAATTGCTCTGCCCCTCTCTGATCAATCCATGTCTATGGTCTTTAAGATAATTTGTTATGTAAAATTATTTATTTATCTAAGATGCACCTACACTGAATTTATCTGAAAAATAAAAAAGTCGATATTAAGAAAATAATTGTAAATGGAAGATTATGAGAGGGTTTTGCATGCCAGCAAAAGTTACTGGCGTGCCATGTTTGGCACGCGTGCCAGGGGTTGCCCACCCCTGTACTAGGCCGTCTGACACCACCCACGCTGGGAAAAGATAGGTGGTTCATTATCACAAGGGTGGGGGGGAGCAGTCCAGGGTCCCACCTTGTCTCCACTGACTCTGTAGGGCTGGAAGGTACTGGTTTCCCCTTGGCAGGGAGGCTAGGGTGGCTCCTTACAGCCTGGCAGGCTGGGGCTGGGGCTGCAGTTTTTCTGTAGTATTTGGCAGGGGAAGAGCAGTTACTATCTAAAAGTTTGCTATCTTGCCCTGGCCAGTTTGGCTCCGTGGCTAGAGCATCAGCCTGCGACTGAAGGGTCGCAGGTTCAATTCCAGTCAAGGGCACATGCCCGGTTGTGGGCTTGATCCCCAGTGTGGGGCTTGCAGAGGCAGCCTGATCAATGATTCTCTCTCATCACGGATGTTTCTCTCTCTCTCTCTCCCTCTCCCTTCCTCTCTGAAATCAATAAAAATATACTTTTTAAAAAAAGAAAAAGAAAATGAAATAAAGGTTTGCTGTCTTGCTAGGCTGCCCCTTTCCTGGCTCTTTGACTAGTCAGAGGCTTTAGGCTTTTGGGTCTGCGCCCATTGCTGCTCTCATTACCATTCTCCGCAGCACCCAGTCTTAGATGAGGCGAGAAGAAACCCCAAGTAACTCAGTGCCATGTCACTCCTGAGTCTTGCGGTCCCTGGCCGGTCTGCCTTCTCTCTACCTTTCACGTCTGTTTTACACTCCGTGTCCAGGAGTGTTAGCTGTACTTCGTTTTAGCAGGAAGAACAGGGAAAGACCATCTCTTCCATCTTTCCGGAAGTGGCAGTCTCCAGAACAGAGCCCGTATGTCGGAAACCTGTTACAGCAGTGCTCTATAAAACGACTTTTAAAAACATTCAGCCATGTTAATGCCTAGGAATAGCAGATTTTTTAAAGAAACATAACTTATTGAAATATGATAAAGTCATTAAAAATGCAGGGGAGAGAAACGTCTGTTGGCTAGAACAGGGGAACTGGTATTGAACATTCCCTCCTACCACAAAAAACATAGGAAATATACAGACAAAATATATGGAACAACTGTTTTCAACATTGAAAGCACACTCCTTTAATCCCTGAAATAAAGGAAGCGTATGAGATAAGCCCTATGATCACCCTAGATTTCTGCTTGTAGATAATTTAAAAAAAAAAATCTTTATTGATTTCAGAGAGGAAGGGAGAGGGAAAGAGAAATAGAAACATCAATGATGAGAATCATTGATTGGCTGCCTCCTGCACGCCCCCTACTGGGGATCAAGCCCGCAACCCAGGCATGTGCCCTTGATTGGAATCGAACCTGGGACCCTTCAGTCCACAGGCTGATGCTCTATCCACTGAGCCAAACCAGGTAGGGCTGCTTGTAGATAATTTTTGAGCTGCAGGTGCAAGAAGGAGGAACCTAAACAGAGCCTCTCTGACTTGGAGGCAGAAATCAGAGAATAGGGAGGCCAAGAGATCTGGAAATTCCAGGGCGGAGTTCCAGAAGGAAGGGAGCTATGCAGAGGGAGAGCGCTGCTAATCTGCAAAGGAGCCTGCATCCCTTTGAGTTAAGGCTAAAAACGAAACTGAGCAGGTACAGGATGAAAAAGCACAGGCCCAGCCAAGAGTGGCAAAGGAGCCATTGGCTGAATGGTTCCCAGAGCTTAGTAGGACTCAGAGGTGTTTGAATTCCAAACAGCCAAAGTGAAAGCCCTCCCTGATCACTAGGGATCTTCAACAGCAGCCCCCGAAGGACCAGGCTTTAGTAAAAGGGCTAAACAATCTTGAGAAAGGAGTTTCTCAACAGGCACTACTGACATTTGTTGCGAGGGGGTGGGGTGGGTGTTTTCCTGCACATAGTAGGACATTCATCAGCATCCCTGGCCTCTGTCCAGTAGTTGTCAGTGGTACCCACCTCTCTAGTTATGAGAATCAAAAATGTCTAGACATTGCCAAATGTCCCATGGTGGGGCAAAATGGCTCAAACTGAGAACCACTGCTCCAAGATAAAGCTTACTCTAGACCAGCGGTTCTCAACCTGTGGGTCGCAACCCCTTTGGCAGTCCAACGACCCTTTCACAGGGGTCGCCTAAGACCATCCTGCATATCAGATATTTACATTACGATTCATAACAATAGCAACATTACAGTTATGAAGTAGCAACGAAAATAATTTTATGGTTGGGTCACAACATGGGGAACTGTATTTAAAGGGCCAGAAGGTTGAGAATCACTGCTCTAGACTCACCCTATCAAGGCTTAAAAACAAAGCTCAAAAGAATCAAACTGAACCAAAGGGTCATACAACCATCTGAGTATAAACAGAAATAGTGCTTTACAAAATGTAACATTCATTCATGATATCAACCCTAAGTAGCAATTTAACCACCATAAAGGCATCTACAAAAGCCCATCAGGTAGCCCAGCTGGTGTGGCTCAATTGGTTGAACATTGTCTCATACACCCATTTGATTCCAGGTCACGGCACATGCCCAAGTTGTGGGCTCCATCGCCAACAGGGGGCCTGCAGGAGGCAGCCAATTGAGTTTCTCTCATCAATGTTTCTGTCCCTCTCTCCCCCTCCCTTCCTGTCTCTAAAAAATCAATTGAAATATATTACAAACAAACAAACAAACCCACCAGGTAATGATGAAAGACTGAATGCTTTTTCTCTAAGATTAGAAGCAAGGCAAGGCTGTATATGGTCAGGACTTCTATTCAAAACTGTTCTAGCAGACCTAGCCAATGCAATAAGGGAAGAAAAAG